GGTCCTCGCGATTGATTGAATTCTGACAGGAGTGGTGGTCTTTTCGGCTGGCATGGCACGGGGCGAATGGTGGTCGTTGAAATTGTGAACTTTTGGTGTTGGTGGGGGAGACATTGAGCACGAGATGCGATGATGAGATGGGATGTTTCTAAGAATAGAACTATTTTTAGAGGCGGCGGGTGGTGGCCGGGCGGCGGAAGGAGCTTTTTTCGCTTGACGGACGAACAGGGCGTGTGGAGACCGGGGGTGGTAACTGGCGTGTGGTGTTCATTTGGAGAAGGAAAAGTGGGGTCATCGCGGCAGTCTCCCTCTCTCTCTCAGAGTGTTACATGGAGATGAGCCGGAGGGTCGGAGGGTGGCGCTTGTTTTGGGAATAGGCGAGATAGCGCGGGTTGGCTGTCTCTCTCTCCCGTCCCCGCGGAACCTGTCTTGGATAACTAGCGTTGGGGTCTAAAAATGTACACACGGTTTTCGCGGGTAGATGGGCTTGTGGTTGCAGTTATGTTCATGTACGGGACTTTGTTTCTTTTTTAGTGTCTGTTCGAGTGTGTGTGTGTGGTTGGGCGTTTGAAGAAACATGACGATGATTGATGATGGGGATGGGGGGAAATAGTGCCGTGCATGAGTGGCATACATGACGCTTGTTCTTTGCTGGCTTGCCGGGAGACGGAGGCACCCCGGGGAAAAGTGTCAGATGTCAGATACTAGCCATGCGCGCCGCCGGGGGACAAGGCGATTGTGGGTCTGTGGTTTGGGCCGCCGGCTTGCTTTCCCATCAGGATTGAAGCAAGTCCGATGGGGGGCCATTTTTGGCGTTCGGGATGGATGAGTGAGATTTTGCGGCCGGGGGAGGAGATTGAGGGGGGGGGAAGGGGTGACTGCTTGTTGTTTCCATGGGGAAATATTACGGTTCGGTGTGGGAAAGTTTAGGACTCTGAGAGAGGATAGTTTGGCGCGTTCTGCTTTCATGGAGGGTTGGGTGAGAATCTCATTGCAGAGACGGACCGCAGCAAAGACAAGCCCAGTGCGAGTGTTTCTTTTTGGGGTTTGGAGCACAGCCCGGCACGGCATTAGTGGACTAGACGACAGACGCGGGAAGGCGCAGGCAAGCGCAGCAAGCGCAAGCGCGGCGTCTGTTACGCGAGTGTGGCAAGATTAGGTAAGGCAGGGTGGGCGTGGTCATGATCTGAGCAGCCAGCGTAGCCGGGCTTGACGCTAGGGCTTTGCGCAGCCCAAGTATGTAAGGTGCATCATGTGCGTGAGTGGTTGAGTCTCTCTTGGCTGCTGTGCTTTCCTGTGTTACCACCCACCCAACTGGGCCTATGTTTTGGGATGGGGAAGAGAGGGCGTGCATCTACAGAATGCGGCTACTGCAACAGCATCGTACTTTCGGCATCGACAGGCCAGGTCCATGTAACACGAAGCTGTCAAGGTTGAAGATGAGGTGAAAGCCAACGGGGGGTTGCTTTGCAGGCTCCAGGATTGGAGCGAGGTGGGATTGACCAAGCACGATGAAGACGTACGAATTCGGGGCATCATTTGCACTATTTTGCGCCGCAAAATGTATGCATGTATCCCCAAAAAAGCAAAGCCTCGAAATGTGCATCTTTGCAGATCATCAAACAGTTGTCAAGCTGTGAAACTAGCGGGAAAAGACACACATGCTGCAAGCCCCGGGTTTATTTTCTGCCCAACGCTAAAAGTCCCCCCTCATCCTTGTCTAGCTGTGAATGTGACGATTGAATGATGCGCTTTTCACCGGGGGCCGGGGGACGTTTGGCAATTTTACGTAGGCGAAGCAGAATTAGCACATAATACGTAGGTAGCTGAGAAGCCATGTCTTGGGAGATGGGATGAGGGGACCCACGATTCCGTTTGGTGGGTTTGGTATGGTTTCTTTTTGTTGCCTTCCTGTTGCTGCCCGTCTGGCGGTGGGTTAGGTAGCTAAGGCAGGCCAGGCCAGCAGCTATTTGCTCGCCAGAGGATTCTCGGTAACACGGCTGCAGATTACGGGCTGATCCCTTAGCAGTTGGGGAGTGCACTGAGTGAAAGGCAATCACATCAGACCTCTAAACATCAAAGACGGGATGGATCATGGCGGTCTTGGGGCCGGGGTGGGGGGGTTGGTTTCCGAGCATCGTGACGGGAAGGATGAAGTTCGGTTCGGCTGCGGTTTTGGCGGGTCCCGTCATCGTGGACGGCCGGGGTGGGGGTTCCGTTAGGCCCCGGAGCCAAGCTCCAATTGACGAGCCATGGGGTCATATGCCAACGCGAGGGGGCGGCGAAGGTCAGAAGGCAGCAAGATACGATCACATCACGAAACCTTGCCCGGCTGAATGTAAATGCACACTGAAAGCAAACAAAACAGGTTGCTGAAGCACAAGGAATGGTTCCCGGGATCGTGTTGCGCGGGAGAGCGGCACGGAAGGGGACGCGAGAATCCTCTCGGGCAGAATCGATGTTTGGCCTCGTTCTGGGGTGTTTGTTGCGTGTTTGTTTGCTTGCCCCCCGTATCCGAGATTCCAGATCCCCCCTCGATCAACCTCACGGTCGGTTCTGCCTGGAGGTCGATTCCGGGCAAACTTGGATGAGGCCCCCGGGGCTACCTTACGCTGTGGGGACCTCGGACTATTGTCTCACATTTTACAGAACCTACGCCGTACTCACAAACACACGATTTTCCAGTCAATGGCTGAAGGATTTCTACAATTGCGAAGCAAGCTGAAGTAGACTTGGGGTAAAACTTCCCGAGAGAGAAAGAAGGAAGCAAAAGAAGCGGGCACTTTTTTGGTTGAGCATTTCTTTGGTGGATGGATGGGATGCTGCCGCTGGGCCGGTAGTGGTTTGTTTTGGGGTCCAAAAAAAGAGTCTCGGGTCTAATGCGGCCGGATATGCAGCGGTCGTCCGCGGCGCCCCGGCTCCGGCTGCTTATTTTTGTTGGAACGTGTGTATGTGTGTGTGTTCCTGTCTTGGCTGCAGTTGTCTTCGCAGCTTTCGGTGTGCAAGGTAGGCAGCGAGAGGTGGACGGAGGAATCCATGGGCGTGGGAAATGCAATGCGGCTGGCTGATTACGGCGGCGCGGCAAGGGCTTCTGGTTTGCTTGGTAGGGGAGGAGAATCTGCATGTCTCGCTTTCTGGTTAGCAGCGATCGATCGGGTAGTAGGGGAAAATAATGACAGCCCCAGGTTTGGTGTCTTTTGGGGACTTTTGGCGGGGAGCTGAGGACGCATGTCCCTGTTCTTTGGAATGCTGCCCGGCTGCTGCATTGCATTGGGTTGGTTCTAAATCGGTTCACCTACACCGACCTGGCGATGCATCTGGCAGGGCGATGAAGGGCAGGTCGTTGCGAGCGCTTGTGTGGACGTTTGAATTGGTCGAGAGAGCAAATGCTCGAGGTCACCAACAAGACGATGGAAGTTGTCGCACCCCACCACACACAGATACTCGCTCACGAGATCAGTTTGCCGTTCCGCCCCATGTTTCTGTTGATAGTGGCAGGAAACAAAATGAGAGGAGGGATGTTTGTTGCAATCCCCTCCCCTGGTCGATTCAGCCCGGGGTCTGGCCAAGATTCCAGGTCGAAGAATGTAGGTGCCTGGCCCGACGAGGTGTGAGAGGTTTCATTGAGGCATGGAATCGCATCACCACGGCCTGGGATAATGATCACTCGCATCGAGGTTACACCGGCATGGGTATGTGGCGTGGGGATAAATTTGACCCTCTGCGCCAGCCCCTCGCTCCCCTGGTCTTTGGGACTGCGCTTGGGAGCAACGAACCGCGGGCTCGTGGTTCATGGCCATGAGGCAGGCATAGTGTGTCGACATTGTGGCAACATGGCATGGGGTGTCACACAATAGGATTATGGGGTTACGGGTGGGAATGAGATACTGGCCAGGACAAACCGTGGGGTCGGTCCTGTAACGATTTTGAGTTGTGAGGTGAGATGTGGCTGGTTTGGCGGCTGTTCTGGGCTGTGAAGTGAGTGAGATTGAGGCTCAGTTCTTTGGATTTCTGATGGTCCATGAGGTGTGTGACAGGGCCATGATCGGTGTGCGATTTGATGGTGAAGCAACGGATAGGACGTGTACCAAAGTACCAAGTCAAAATGGCGGCGGACGACGGAACCCAGCAAAGATGGCGATGCCGATGTTTGAACAGAGCAATCGCGGTTGTCTCGTGACGAAAGGGCCGTCGGGAGGATTCGGTGAAATTTGCATCGCAGGTCTGAGCTGTGATCGGCTGCGGACGAGAGCGAGGTTTAGGGCGATGGTGGAGAGGGGTGTTTTGCGCGGTATGAAGCTGGGGGCGAGCTGCTTTCTTTGTGACAAGATAGCGAAGACAAAGCATGTTGTCTCCGAGTCATCATGGATTAACCCAGCTGTAGTTGTATGATCTGGCGCAAGGTAAATGACGATCAGAGAAAGAAAAGCAAGCAAACAATCTTGAGACGAATCCCAGGGCTTTGGGAGGGATGAGGACGCTGAAACTGGCCGCTAGCTTGGGCCCTGACCGGCGGCGGGTGCCGACAGTTCAGCCACACCGCACTCTACGGGCCACACGGGTCATGGTGGGGTCGCCCATTTACGGCGGACCGCGTCGCGTCGCGCCTTTGACCTGCGACCTCACGATTGAACCTCGGCGATAGTAGACGTCCTCAACGGCTTGCCGACGTCGACTACGATCTCGTCGAGAGCACTTGACGTCGGCTCCTTGCCATTGTCTGCACGGCCCTGCAATAACAAGGAGATGAGCACATCATCGACTTCACCACAGTAGTTGTCACTTTGCCGGTTTCGGCTCACCGATAGCATCTCCCCAGGCATCGTGAGTACCATGTCCCAGTCACCACGTGACCTCTAGAAGATATTCGCTGAGAGAGAGCCTTGCATTGAGGCTCTATCACTCAAGGGATCTCACCAGTGTTCTATGTCGTGGACCAAGCTACCTTGAAACTAACTGATCCTCCCAGACTCTTGCCCGCCGGCCGTGACATCCTCAGCATGGCGCCCAACCAGCTGCCTAGGGTCCGCTCGGCGGAAGCGTCCATCGAGAAGGGTCGTTCAGCCTATGCAGACCAGCGTTTCCGCGTCGCACTGGAGCACTTCACACTCGTCGCAGGAAACTGTCCCTGCTCATCACCCTCATCATCTTCTTCAGCTGGTCGGGGTACCTCAAGCAGCGCATCTGAAACCCAGCAACGCCGCCGCCGGGAACGATGCACATGCCGAGACTTTGGCCAGGCTGCTGCACTCGCCCGTAGGGAAAGGGGCGCCGTGTACGCGGAGGCGACGAAGGAGTGCGAGTGCGGCGCTGAAAAGACTTGGGGAAAGTGTCATCGCGAGGGCCATGTGCAGGCGCTGGACTACCGGGCTGCGTGCTTCGAGAAGATGGGGAATCTTGAGAAGGCCAGGAAAGATGCGGAGTGGCTGCTGGAGATTGCGCCAAGGAGGCTGGAGGTATGCTTTATCTGGCTTTCATTGTGCCCTTGCGGTGCTTTCTTGGCTATGGCAACAACGTGACTGACATTACTCAGGGGTACATGAGACTCGGCAAGATTTACCGACTTGAAAAGAAGCCGGAGTTGGCTTGGGCGATATGGACTGCTGGTGTTGATGCTGGCCAGAGGGAGGGTCTTGTCAGGACGACAAAGTATCAAGTATGTCTGCCAACCTTCAGGTACTGATACCATACTGACAGGCACAAGCAACTATGCAAAATTCGGGAACCATTACACAAACACTTCTGCCGCAAGGATCCATTAGACCTCCCGTCAGAGCTAGTCGAGAGCATATTCTCCTACTTTGAGTTTATCGAGTTATGGTATGCAAGCACCGTTCCTCTTCACGTACTGCGATTCTAACCTAGCTAGTCGCTTCTCGGGTGTCTGTAAACGCTGGGAAACCTTCTTCGACACCCATCCCTACATTTGGAGAGAGCTCCACTTCAGAGTTACAAATACTCAAAAGCCCCCTCGCGTGAGCTTCATGAAGACACTGCGCAAACGCACCGCCGGTCGTGCACGCAGCCTCATCATACCCAACGCCCACACCTTCCAGCTCAACCAGTCGAAATGGATATCGCTCATTCAGACCACGAATCCACAGACGACAAGTCGTTTGGAGCTGGGCGGCATCCGGCGCAACATGGACGGCGACTGGGGGTATAAGCTACCTCCAAAGCCGCCCTTCTTCGAGGGCCTTTCTCGTCTCAAATTCAACTTTCACCACACTCACTCAGAGTACACCGGCAGAGGCGGGCCGCAAGATTTTGTCAGACAATTCGTCGAACGCGCGAAGGATAATCTGCAGAGTCTCACGTTGATAAGCATGTATCTAAATGACCTCAACTGGCCTGAAATGCCCCGTCTCAAGATCCTACAACTCACAGGCCCACTGAACAATACCCTCTCAAATCTTACCACAGAACGTCGAATAAACCCCGTGAGTCTTCTTGACCCCACGCCTCTTCACTCGTACTAATAAGAACTCCCCTTTAGTTCGCACTCGCAAGAGCAACCCCGAACCTGCAGCAACTCTACCTCGAAAACTGCGGCGTCTTCACCGACCTCGACTCCCTCTCCCCGCCCGAGGACTGCTGGTCCCTCTGGCGCCATCTCCAAGTCATCCGTCTCGGCACGACACGGAGCGGCCTCTCCATGGGGAACAAACGCCACTTCCCCCCGCTCCACCCGTCCTCCTTCCGCGTCTTCGAAGCCCGCGCCACGCACCAGGGGAACCACGGCGACTGGCTCCCGCAGCAGCTGCCGCTCGACTACTCCGGCTACGCCGAGGCCTCCGCCTCCCCGACCGCGCAGGACGACAAGCTCGACCTCGTCACGTACCCCAACCTCGAGCGCTTCTGGATGCCCAAGCTGCCGCTGAGCGTCGACCTCGCCACCATCCTCCTCGAGCCGGCCATCCGCTCCGGCCGCCTGCGCGAGGTCGGCCTCTGCTGGCGCCAGGACCCGGGCCAGTACTTCCCCGCGGCGCTCGACTTCCTGCGTGGCGCGGCCTCCGTGCGCACCCTCGGCTTTTTTGATTTTGACTTCGAGTCCCACGAGGCGCTCACCCGCGACGCCGCGCACCGCGGCGCGAACCCCAACGATCTGCTCTTCGGCTTTCTCGAGAGCTTCCCGAACCTCGAGGTGCTCGAGCTGCACTCCGCCCTCTGCGAGCCGGCGCGCATCGGCGCCGTCATCGAAAGGGTCGTGAAGCTCGGCCGGCGGCTGCGGAGGGTGTACCAGCGGGCGCTGACGGGCGTGCTGATGGACCAGCTGAGGGCGTTTTGCGAGGCGCACGGCGTGGAGCTGGTGTACGGGAGCTGGGAGGCGGCGTTTCCTGTGCCGTTGGAGGATGCTGAGCCGGTTGAGGCTGCGGTGTACTGAGGATGTTTTTCGTAGATTCCCTCCCTTTCCTCGGCGTCCTGCATGCTGTTAATGTACGGGTATAAAGATGAATAATGAGATACGGACGAAAGGGCGCAAATGCTCGCGCCCGCTGCACTTATATGCAACTTTCCCCTTGTTTCCTCCCGACGATTACTCGGCTGGGTGGTGGAGGGCTGTTGATGTAACGGAGGGAGTTGGCGGCGTTGATATTGCGCGGTTGATTCTGATTCTTATGCGTCCCTTTCGATCCCCGGCCCTTTCGCGAGGTCAAATCATCGCGGCTAGATTGAATGATCACTACCAACCCACCTCGTCGGTGACATACTTGACTGGGAGAAGCATCAAGTGGCCTAGACGATAATAACAACTGAGATTTTGCGTTGCGTCTCCCTCTTCTCAACTTTCCCGTGCCAGTGTAGTGACGATTTACCACACGAGGATCCCAACTCATTACCCATTACCCATTACCCGTTGCTCAACATTATATCAACTCACGTCGTCAAGAGCCACATCACAAGAACACTTCAGTATCGATAAAATAGTTGAACAAGCAAAAAAACAGACATGTTAGATTAAATGATCCAAGCTCCGCGCGACTGAACAAGACGACACACACATACACGCGCGCTTCGCTCGCTCAGTGCTCGCTACCTGAAAGTAAACAAATCGTGGGTGGGGGGTTCTTCAACTCTGCCATGTCGGTAGTGGCCCGCTCAAAACAAGGCCACGCACCATTCATGACGCGAAACACAAAATCACTAAATCCTCCCTTCCTCCAGCTCAGCCTGCCTGCCTGCCTGCCTGCCTGCCCTTTCAACTCGCGGCGCTGTCCCAGCCCCAGTTCGTCGCTCGCTCTTCCGGCTTTCCCGTTTTCTCTAACGCCGTTGTGGGGGAATTATCCCAATCTCCCATGATATCTTTGAATCCTCCTTTGGAAAACAAACAGAAGACGACAGAGTTCTATTATAAGTGATAGTGATGTGGGCAATCTGATTTGAACCCTGGTATTCGTATATAAGTATGAAGCGGGGGAAAAGGAAGGTAGTAATGATTCGGTGTTTTTGGTATCACCGCGCGGGTGAAGGGGGAACGGCGACGTTGCCCGAGATGAGGCTTTCCATCTCCCAGGGGCTAAGCGTGCTTCTCCTCCTCGACTGGACTTTGCTGACGCGTCTGTCGCGCTTGCGCTTGGGAGAGCGGAGTTGTTGCTCTTCCTCCTGCGGCAGGTCGCGCTTGACGGGGTCCAGATCTTGCTTTGATTCTGAGACGGCTTCGGGCTGCTTCGGCTCCGGTGGAACGGCGACGATGGTCTCTGGCGGCGGGGGAGGCATGGGTCGCGGCGTTGACTGTTGCGATGGCGGCGCCGCGACCGCCTTGATCGCGCCTCCGCGAGCGGCCTTGAGCTTTGCGCGGACGCGGGCGGCGTCGGCCTCGCGCTCTGAAGCGGCGAGCTTTGCGGCGATGGTAGCCATTGTCAAAGGGCTTTGTTGGGGTTGAGGCTCTGCTGGGCGAGGGAGAGGCAGACGCGAGGGAACGCGGCGCAGCGGCGTTCGGGCCGGCGTCGCCTTTGTGCTGTTAGTTTGCGTGGCGGGCCCTGGGGGCGGGCCGTCGTTGCTTTCGTTGCTCTCCTGCGAGACTGTGCGGATGGCGGCGGTTGGAGAGCGCGGCTCCGCGGGGGCGGATGGTGGCTGCGCGGTTGCAAGATGAGGCGGCTTTGGAAGCTTGCGGACTGTGGGCGTCTGGTTCACGGCAGAGGGGGGAGACTCTGCGGGAGTCTTAAGCGGTGCGCCGTTGTGGGTGGATTCAGAGTCGACAGAGGTGGCTGAGGTGACGCGAAAGCAATCGTCGACAGGGTATGAGGGCTTTTGAGGTGAGCGCGGGAGCTGGGTGCGGTGCGGTGGAGGCTTGGGTGCGACTGCCTCGACGGCGCGGATCTCCCAGGTCTTTTCTTCAGTGATGGTGGTGAAGTCGCCTGGCTTTTCGCGGCGAGCCCGAACATCGCGGTTGCCAGCCGAGGAAGAGTCCTTCAGGGGGCTCAATTGAGGAGCAGGAGGGAGAGGAGGGGGGCTGACGTATGCGGCAGACTGCTGGAGGATCTCGACGTTGGGCTCCTCGACATCGAGCTCCTCAACATCGACATCCTCAAAAATGCTAGACTCGTAGTCGCTTCGGTCATCTTCGAGGTCATCATACTGAACTTCTCTGAAGTTGTTGTTGTACTGTTCAGGCGCGGGAACAAGATGAAGAGACTCGACTCTCTGCTCGACTCGCTGGGGTTGAGGGCAAGGAGACTCAGGCATTTCCTCGTCGTCCTCGTCTTCTTCTTCCTCTTCCTGGTCCTGGTCCTGGTCCTCCTCGTCGAAGTCGGCGGTACACTCCTCCTTGACACAGGAGAGCTCGTGCTCATGCATGTCTACGCCGCCGTGCTGAGTCTCCTCGACATTGCGCACACGAACGGGACTGAGACGAAGACCCATCTTCAACTCCTCCATATTGACAGGCTTGCCGTCAACAGCCATACGCCGACGCCAGCCGTCAATGAGGTGGACAGCCTCTTGCCAACGGTTCTCCATCTTGACCCAACCAGCACGCAGGCGGGCAATCTCCTCTTCACGGACTTCAACTTCCTCAATAGGGGCAAATGAAGGGTTCGTGAGAATCGATCTAAGATGCTCAAGAATGGCGTCAAGCTCCGTAGCCATGTCCTCGGCCGTAGGCAAAGCGACTGCATGACCGTCACCTTGGGTGGTCCGAACATCGCAGCCGCTCATCTCGCGCAGTCGCTGCGTCGTTCGTCGCACAATGCCGAGTAGAGACTCATTTTCTTCGCTGAGGTTGCGCGAAAGCTCTGTAAGAAATTCGTTCGTCTCGCTTCGCAAGTCATAGTTCGAGTCCTCGGTGTTGGTTGTCCTGCCACCGCGCTTAGGCGATATCTTATCCTCGCCCTCGCCGGCGGCGACGGTGATGACGGTGACCGCAGAGCTCTTTGCCGCGCCGCGAGGACGGCCAGCGTCTCCAAGTTGCTTCTTCAGGCCGTCAATCTGGCGATCGCGGCGGCGGACCTCTGTCGCGCACGAGGCACGTGTCTGGGCTACGAGGGTCTTGGCGCGGGCAACCTCGTCCTTGAGGCCGCGGACAGCAGCGTCTGCCGATTTGAGCTGGGTTCGCAGCGCGGTTTCGGTGGCCTCGCTGATGTCGACCTTGCGCTGGGCTTCGGTGTGCTTCTCCGAGATGCGTGCAATGTCGTCCGTGTATCGCAGGTTCTCGGCTCGGATGGTTCGTAGCGTGGTCGAGAGGTTCTCGCGGTGTTCGGCGTCGCGCTTTAGGATGTGGAAACAAACATCGTCTCAGTTTGGGGATCTTCAAAGGTAGTTTTTCAAAAGGGACGAGGGCACACGCACGTCTCGGCGCAAGATCAAATCATTGACTATGCTCATGATCTTGCCCATGGTGGCCTCCGTGCCGCCCGGATTGTCGTCCGGGTCGGCGAAGTTAATGGTCTGACCATCGCGGAGCAGTCCCCGCGAGAGCAGCTGGTTGTTGATGTACAGCGACGCTGTACGCAAATTGTCGTTCTCTGCCATTGTGATGGACGTGTCTCTCGGCGAGACGAGGATACTGCTTGTGTATTCCCCTGTCTAAGGCATGCGGATAGGAGTAATGGGTATGTGGCTCGTGGGCTGTCGCTGAAGGAAACGAAATGAGGCAGGAAATGTCATCGATGGAGAGGATATCGCGGAATGGCGTCTGCCGAGTTGCAAGCTTATGCAGGACGAGAGACGGACCAGGACCTTTTCAGGGTGGTCTGCAAGGGCGAGTTTTCGGATCGTGTAGTGTATTTTGGTTCGTTGCCATGTCACCCCCACCTCGCAAAGTAAACAAAAAATTACCACACCCGCAGCAGCCAACACACAACGTCACATGGGTCCTGGCCGCGACCCTGCGGGGCTAACCGCGAACCGCCTAGCGCCATATCTACACATTCATGCGATAGCGCCCGAGTCACAATTCTGCCTCCCGATCACACTCAAAAGGTCTCATTCTATCGAGCCATATTCCTTCTTCTCAGCCTGCAGCCCAGGAAACCGAACCCAATTCCGTCACCAAACAGGTGCCATGGCTTTCGACCCGACGGCACTTGGCCCCTCAGCGGAGCCAGCCATTCACGATCTCTCGGGCGAGATATGGCATCCCTTGTTCCGGCACGAGTGCGCCTTTGGGCCCGATGTTTTTGAGGATGTTATGATGAACCTGGTCAAGAACCCAAACATCAACTCGAGCTGGCTCTTCCGCGCAGACATCCTCAATGACACCGACCCGGGATGGGTGCCCGAACCTCTCCCCACCTCCTCTGATCTCCCCGATCAACAGCAGGGTGTTGACGCTGCCGCACAAGCTGTGCAGCAGCCTGTCCCCATTGCCTTCAAGGATTTCCGCAACGACCGCGTTCTTGTGCGGAGGCTGATCCCGCGAAACACCCGCCGGGACGATCCCCTGGGGCAGACATGCGTCTTTGCCTCCAGCACCCCAGATGCGGCGGGTGCGGACGCCAACGCCGGCGCCCCGGGGACCAGGTCCCTGGTCGTCTACCTTCCCCACGCTTCCTCCCCAGACGCCCTTCCGTTCTACCACCCCAAGGTCCGGGGCGTTGCGCATCTCCACGAGTGGGACGCTGCGCGAGCCGTCGGCACCGTCTCCATCCACTACTTGTTCTTTGACGAGGCAGACTTTGCCGTCGAGAAGCTCGTGCGGACGGCACGCATGCTGCTGTCAGTCTTGTACAAGCATGGCCAGGGACGAGTTGCCGGCTACAAGAAGCGAGTGCATCACGACGTCGTTATCCCCCAGGCGCGATTCCAAGATCGCTACACAGAGCTCAAGCTCAAGTATGCGAGGGATCTTGTAGAGAACTGGGCAGAGACGACTGATCCTTCCAAGCACGTATTTGAGGACTTGGGAATCGCTGCGTTTCTGATCGAGCTGTGGGCCGAGATGTACAAGGACAAGCCATTCCCTGGATTCGTGGATATCGGCTGTGGCAACGGCCTCCTTGTCTACATCCTCATTCAAGAGGGTTATTCCGGCTGGGGCTTTGATGCAAGAGCAAGAAAGTCCTGGGCCAAGTACAACACCGTGCAGTCAGGGAAGGATTCCCTCCAGAGACTTGTGCTCCTTCCCGACGCCGTGTCGAGGCCTTCTGCCATCGATGGCGAGGAGTCTGTCATTGATCTCTCACAAACTCACAACGGCGCGTTTCCCAAGGGCACCTTCATCGTCTCGAACCACGCGGACGAGCTGACTCCATGGACCCCTATTTTGGCAACTCTCTCTGAGAGCCCCTTCATCATGATTCCCTGCTGCAGTCACACCTTGGGAGGCCAGAAACACCGTGCCCCACTACCGCGAGACAAGACCAAGTCGCAGTCAACTTATTCCTGTCTCGTGGACTGGGCGGCATGCATCGCTGAAGACTGTGGCTGGGTCGTTGAGACTGAGATGCTCCGCATTCCGAGCACGAGGAACACGGCCATGCTGGGACGGAAGCGGACACGGGGTGTCGAAGAGGTTGATATCGACGGAGTGTTGGCCAAGTATGGCGGGACAGGAGGCTACTTTGAGAGCGCGGCGAAGTTGACGAAAACCGAAAAGGGGCATTAGGCGATATAGACGTAGAAGTGAAGTCAACCACAAAAGTGATACCCCTTGCAAAAACTAATTTGGGTTTCTTCATTGAGTATGAACCATGGCGAAAGAGCTATTCTAGCATTCTTGGTATTTTTTATCCTCATCTGCCAGGAGTGAGCGTGGATTGTCTCGCAATCCATTTTCTTCCTCTCTTGTCTGCCAAATCAGATCAATTCGGCCAACTCCTGAATCCTCTTCCTCGCCGCCTCCCTGACCTCAACGACAACCTCACCAGCCGGCTTGATCTCGTTAATGAGCCCAACTCCGGCACCCGACCACTTACCAATCATCTTCTTTCCCTCATCATCACTCCACCCGGTCTTCAACCTTTCCCGGCTTTCCTCGACTGTTGCCGTTTTACCTCCGAGCACGTGGTACTCACGATGGATGTCCCCAATAATCGCACGGCCATCGTACCCCGGCTTCCAAAGCTTGCTGTCCACCAACTTGTCATGGAAGTCGTGCTTCCACGTACTCACGCCGCCGTCCTTCGTCTTCACAAGCAGCTCCTTGTGCAACTGCGCCGACATGGCCTCGTTCGTCGCAACGAACCGCGTGCCCATGACCACACCCTCGGCCCCCAGCGCATACGCCGCAGCCACACCAGCACCCTCCACAATACCACCCGCCGCGACAACCGCAACCTCCCTAGACGCGAACTCAGAGGCCAGCATCGCCTTGATCTCAGGAACCAACGCGACGACGCCGCATCCCCTCGAGAACTGGTGCCCGCCCGCGTCAACGCCCTGGGCGACGAGCACATCCGCCCCATCGGCCGCCGCCTCGCGCGCCGCAGCCACGTTGCCGACCTGCACGAAGACCTTGATGCCCGCCTCCCGCAGCGCCGGGATGATCTGCGCGTGCGGCTTCAGGTCCTCGTTCGGCGCGAACAGCCACGCGGCCGCGACGCGGTGGCGGGCGAGGATGGGGAGGACGTTGGCGGCGAAGAGGCCCGCCGTGTCGTGGGAGGTGATGAAGCCCACGCCCAGCGGGAGAGGCTGCTGCTCGTCGGCGGTGGTGAAGAGCAGGGACCGGGCCTGGGTGAGGGCGGCGTCCATGTCCTTCATCTGGGCGGAGGACTCGGAGAAGTCGAAGCCCGCGGCGATGAAACCTGTTGCTTGGTCAGTGACTGTTTTTCGTTGGTGGGCACACAAAAGACAATTGTCTTTGAAGGGAGGTTGACGATGCGGTTTCCATGGGTGTTTTTGTGAGTGTGTGTGTGTGTGTGTGCGTGTTAACACTTACCGATCCCACCGGCCTTGTGGACCTCGGTCGCCAGAGATGCGCCGGCTGCCCCGAGCATGGGCGCGCTGATGATGACGGGCGCCTTGGCGTGGGGAAACCAGCTTCTGAGTTTAGAGGGTGCCATTTTTGCTTTTTCTGTTGTGCTTGCAGTTGCGGCGCTGAATCCGCAGGTTTGTGATGATCTGGAGAGTGAGACACAATTATTTGGAAATCCCGTTGCTTTTGGGATATGTCTCGTTCCGCAGGGGTTGTTGACAATGGACGAAAGGGATGAGGATGAACGGGTGGAGGGGAGGAGGATGGGTAAGACACGCTTAGAAGAGGGTCGAGTCGCTATGGCTGGTGCTGACGAGATGGCCGTGTTGAGGCTCCGCGGAGATGGTCGCATTGTAGCGGCAGAAGGTTGGTCAGCAAGGACCTCGGGTAGGCCAGATCTTGGTGCTTTTACGGCTTGCTGAGATGGGAATATGGGACGGACGCGGGGCCCTTTAACTGTCTCCGGTGGCGCGGGGTGGGGCGCCGGGATTAAACTGCCGCTGCGGCCCGCATGCCGCTGTTCCCGCCGGCTTCGTCATCAGGCCCACGGCATTGGTCATCTTCAAGTTGAGGGATGCAATCCTTCTTGATTCACCCGCTTGAACCTTGATCAAGATCTTTTTGCTTGGTAGGATGCATATGTAGGCCATCCTTCTGGCCATGGTTGAAAACAGGGTAGTGTAGCTGGAGCATTTCCCGACTTTGTTGGGAAGCTGTGCGGAGCACTGAAGTCCGCATATCTCCACATCAAACAAACTAGGTGACCACTCATACATGGCCTGGGGAAGCTCTTCGAAGTGCTGGATGCTGTCACTGGTTTGGGGATCATTTAATGTCAAAGCTCCCTGGCGCACCAAAAGTCGATTTGGCTAGACATTAGAAACAGTCGCAACACCTCACAATGCTGCTAGCTGAGTTACCAACTAACCTATGTTCAACCATTTTTATGAGAAACTCTAGTATGTCGCTTGCTCTGCTACACATAAGTTTAGTAGAGGAGCATGCTTTATCTCGGGCAAACATCAAGAAACCTTGCAATAAGTTGTAACTACCAACGGTGCAGATTCAGCTCCTGATGTCATGCTTGCCATCTCAGCGTGGTTGCCAACCAAGGTCTACTCGACATCATTTTCTGAATGAACGTAGTTGACGGAACTTCAATAAGCAGCTCTGCGGCATATACTAGCCACTGCTAGGACCACAGCTTCCAAACGCGACATCATAGGAGGGCGTCCCAACCAGCAAACAACACTTCCAAACTTGACAAGTGCAGTATCATGTCCAAGAAGGAATTGATCTCAAGACGAAAGTCGAAGGAGACGGGCTATGCCCTTATAACAAGACCAGGGGATCGTTTGATACCATTCATAGATGCTGCAAGTTTGGCTGAGCTGAAGGTGGCTTATGCGTGAGGTGTTAACCTGTAACACCTTATTTCATGTCTTATTGATCGAAAGAATCCACCGTCGCTGAATCTTATATGGTGGGCATCATGTGTGTTTGCGAGAGCGACTTTGTCAGTGACAAGTTGACAACCGGGGAACTCTTAAGGTTACGGGCCCCTGCACAGGAGCGACCGACAGCCCCTGAGGCGCAATATTTATACACTCTGTGTGGCATTTGCCTCAGTGAATCTATCCATGGTGACAGCGGCCGTCGAGTCGGTCAAGCCGTAGGTGCTGCGGGCATGACCCCTGTACCCTGGGGAGCCGCCAATGTCCACGCATAAGCATGCGACAAATCGGGTGTCTGAAACCTGGGGTGACAGCCTGCAGAGACCACTAATAGGGCGCCCAGGCTTTTAGTTTGTCTAATTGTGCATCAGGATATCTTTGGCTACTTCCGTTTCTACACGACAAAGAAAACAAACGGAAAATATGAGAATGCCGAAGAACTTTCTACATATCGCTCAACAGCTCAACCACTAGACCGTGTAAATGCTCGGAAATTGCGGTTTGCAGCAGTTTACACGTTGATAGAATCACCATGAGATTCAACTTCCAGAAATCGGTTGCCCGAGTCAAGCAGCCTCACCGACAACAGTATCTTTACGGGAGAAACACCTGCCGATCATGTTGATTAATCTAACGAAAGCTGTACGACTCAGAGTCACTTATGCTCTTGTCTTCGGCTTTTGCCGGCAACGAGCGCATTTCCAATAAGCTTCATATTATGAACGTAGATCAGCTAAGAAAGTCTATCTCTTTGGGACGAACGAGTACAGGGATGAAGTTGATTGCCCAGAAGTCTTTGCGAAGCAACTTTCGCCCGCAAACCCCTCAGAGGCTCAGAGCTCGTCGCCCTCGCCGGCCAAGCGGGGGGCATTGAGGCAACTGCTCAACTCACGTCTTACTAGTATATAATTCCCCGCATCGCGCCTTGGCTGAGCAGAATTCTAGAACTCAGACTCAAGTCGTCAGCATCACATTCATTTACATTCCAACTGTCTACTTTCTTTGACAACTTTCCAATCAAACAATTCACACAATGTTCGGACTTAAGACCGTCGTTGCCCTCATGTTCGTCCACCCCCCATTCCCCAGTTCCCCCCGCTCTGAGCGGCTCAACTAACAAAACCTCAGTGGCCTCGCTTCCATCGTCGCCGCTGCCCCGGCCGAGGACAACCGCGTCCACGTCAAGCGCCAGGGTGATGACATCAAGAACTGCTACTGCGGCAGGGACACCGGCTCCGCGCTTGTCAGCGACCCCGACACCACCAAGGCTGCCTGTGCCGACTACGGCTCATACGGTAAGTTTGCTCGCAACCCACCCTCGAGGCTTTGTGATCTTGGATGGCTAACCTTTAACCAATAGCCGGCCCCTACCCCACCAGGTGCCAGATCATCATCGACATCAACGAGCCTCTGTACATTGACAAGTGCAAGGCTCTCGGCCAGCCCACTGGCTGGTGCGAGAAATAAGCCTGTGAAGATTAGAATATCTGAATAGACTTGATACCTCGAAGTGTGAAGAGTGCCTGGTGTTGTGCACCTTCCCCATGTTTTGACTCAAGAAATATTACCGTGACCCTATCACTCGCGACTGTGCAGTCTAACATAACGATCGTTGGGGCGAAGTGAGGAACCCGCTTGCTGTCTCCCACGAGGTTGGTTCTCTAGTTCAAATCCGCCAGCATTTCCACCTTGGGCTTCTAGACAGCCTTCGCAGAACTTCATCTGAGGTTTGTTTGCCATCCTCGAGTCCGCGAACCACTGCAGTAACTTCCACGCTGCTTGGAGGAAAACCAAATCCGCAAGAATGATGGCTAGCAACATCACCCCCACGCTTTTCTGCTTGGGTACAGAACAAAGGTATTGAGCTGCTATGGTGGCCTTGTTGCAGGATAACGGGCCCATCAGCGGCTGGATAGTTCCGTAGCTCTCGTTAAGGGGAACATTGGTATCAATTCCAGCCTCGTTAGGCTTGGGAAGCTTGGTGAAGCGGCCGTTATCCAGCTGAACTGGTTCAGTGAAGTTGTTGAGTAGGGCACCAGGGAATCGGTTGGTGTTCTGCGGATCCATGATGGCATATCTAAGACCGTCTTCGTCAAGCAATAGGTTTGGCAGCTCGCAGTTTCCAAGGTCAAGAGCGAAAAGTGAGTGCATGATTTTAGAGTAATGCAAGCTTTCTGTCAAGGTTGGCGACCCCCAGAACTATCAAAATGTCAGTCCGTATGCAGAAGTCTTGTGTGTTGAAAAATTAACAAACTGGGTACGTACGTCAGAGTTATAAGGCGTGGTGTCATAAGGCAAGTCCATCCAAAGAGTTTGCAAATAGCTATTCTCGAATTGGAACGTCCAGCCGAGATCGAAAAAGTTTTCTGAACGAATACTTGGCAGTGGTTGATGCCTAATCAGCCGGCGCGCGGAACAACAGTTGCGAAGACACAGACTTACTCCGTCTTGGATAAATTCCTATCGAAGTTGAGTCTGGCCCGGTTGAGATACGTTTCACCAAGAACGTCTACACCGGGAACCTGAGAGGCAGCACTTAAAATGCCAATGAAGTAGGCGTTCGAAAGCCGAGTTCCCCACCAAACGCTCGCGCGTGTTTTGTGATTGGAGTCCATGACATAGTCGTATACGGGCTCAGTTTCTCCCTCATATTCGGCTTCCATGGTGACTTCTGCAAGTCCAGCATCAGACACGACAGTACACTGTAAGGTTGCCGTCGCTACTGTATTCTTGAATGATATCCACCAGGATGGCAATCTGGCCGGGTCGCTTTTCATCAATTTGACAAACATTTGACTTAAAAAGCATCCCTCAAGTGTCGTGTTCTTGTATCCAATTGACGAACGAATATCCGGGGACTCGGCGTCTCTGGTGGGAAGCTCTATGCTCTTCACTTTATACCGGAAACCATGGTTTGAGGTGAAGAACGAGTCGCCGACCGTCAGAAGATAGGGCTGACATTCAACATCCATGTCCCCTTGCCAATTGAAAGGCGGCTTGTTGAACGACCTGTTTAAGCATCATGATTTAGGCCATCTCACATTCAAAGATCGTATGGGGTGCATCTTACCGCGCATTCGCCGCGGCTTCTGTACCGTTAACATCGGTAGTGTAGAGTGGCTTCAAGTCGAAGCCGTTTGATGTTAGGTTGACGAGCGAAAAGACCGCAGTCAAGATGACACAGCCTATGATTGCAACGGGCGTGAACCACTTGAAAGGATATGGGCGGGTGATGGGATACTCAAAATGATACATCTTTTCTTTTTCGCGATAACATCAAGTTTTGGCACAGGATCTAACTTGAAAATGGAATTTTAAGTATATTTCTAATTCTAATGGCCCAGAAACGGCCAAGAATCTGAGCAGAGCCTGCTTCTATGTTGCATGTGTGCAGAGATGATCGCTCCCAAAAGAGACGGTCACCATCAATATCATGCAGCTTACCACTGAAGACGAAGAAGTGGAAGCCGAGAGTGAGCGGAATGTCTCCTATTAAGAGCCAGTGAAACTGTTAGTATGTGTGGGAGAACCGCCGCTTCTCGGTCGGCGAAGCCCTGGATGTAGCTTCCTTGGAAAGTTGATGACCAAGTCAGGCTGTGGGTAACACAGGGACACAACGTTTTGGGTAAGCATATGCAGCACCAATCGAAAAGGTCAAGGATGCGTTGATGATCTGCCAGACCCAACTTCAAATGGTTATAGTAAGCAGGCTTGTCGATGAACGGGCTTATTGGAGTTGACAAATAATTGCTCACGCGTGTGGAATACTGTGTCACCTCGGATTATGTTTGATAACTTGAATTAGGGCATGGCGTTTCAATTTAGCGCAGGTAGGAGTAGATCAAAAGAGTCGTCGGTGACCCCGGCAATGACTCCGTGTAGAGGTGCTGTTATGAGACATGTCGGACATTATTAGAGGCCCATACCACAGCCATTCATTGATTTTGTGATGCGTGTTCTAGGCAGAACCTTTGCTGGAAAAAGGTCTAGACCAACGCAATCACTAGCAAATCGTTCATCTGCAAAAGAAGAGGCCTACAGAAAGACTATTCTCCGAATATTCAGGATCAGATTCAGCCACAAAAACGAGCAAAGCTGAATAACAAGGGAGGGAAGATACCTCTGCGTTTTCGGCTCAAAACCCAGGCTCATGACTTTTTATCACTTTCGTCATGACAGTGACCAGAAAAATCAACGGAAGCTATCTCGGGACTCGAAGACGTCGACAAGTTTCATTGTCCCTCAGCATCGAATTATCAGAGCGCACCTGCTTCTTCAAAACCAGAGCGACTTAATGTAGCTTACATGCTCAAGTTGGAAGAGACAAGCGGCCCCGCGCCACGCTCACGGGTCTGGGAGAAGACCAGGATCATTAGCCATAGGGATACTAGCTTGCTTCCATACAAAAGAGTATTGTACTGCTTATAATTTACACCATGACAACAATGTCACGGCCAAGGTTGAGATCTGCTTTGATAAAGAATGATAACATATTCCTGCCCTTGGAGGGTGGTGCCATGGATGCGTCGGCAAGAGTTGCCACGATCATCTCTGGATGTCTAGATACACCAGTATACTCTGCGCGAGGTGACGGATGAAAGGATACAGGAGCGGAAATGATGGTATGGTATCTTTGATATGTATTATAACTACCTTTTTGCTTTATTTTTATTATCTAGGTAAGCTTTTGGTGAGGACACTAATTTCGATGTTCCTCATGCAACTTTGCATTTGATTGAGGAGAGGAAGTCATTGTTCCTACTCTGCCCAATGAGTTTATATGAGACATTATGAACCACATACGTCTGTGTGTCTGAGAACGACGGTTGGGATAAAGAGGTGTAGGTCATTCGATGTTCGTACGAAAAGCCAACCGCAGTGCTTGGTCAACACGACAGAATGTCTAAGAGGTGATGATGGACCATTCATTCCAGATGAAATTCAACTAGGGAGAAAGAATGAAACACTTTGATTCGTTGAATAGCTGTGTGTTGTGTACACGATTATACTCAGCCAGTGACCGGAGACGACGACGATGGTGAGGGTGTCAAGCAATCATGGCAACCCCATCCATTGGTACAACATGTTATATGCAGTCTACATCTATCTTCATATGTATTTTCCCGTCGTCTCAAATCGTCTCACGATGCAAAAATCTTCATCAGTCCCTCCATCGCCATATTACCACCGCTAAAAACCAACCCCAAATCCCACCCCTTCTCCCCAGCCTCCTTCTCGACCATGCTCCTGAAATCCTCGTTAAACAGCGCAACCGCAAGCGGCACCGCACCGCTCGGCTCGACAACGAGCTTGAACCGCTCAAACACCAGCTTCACCGCCGCCTTGATCTCCTCCTCGCTCACGCTGAACATGTTCTCCACCAGCCTCCTCTCGTAGATCACGCCCCAGGGGAACTTGCCCACCGGCGTCCGCAGCCCGTCCGCGATCGTCAGCGTCTTGACGCTCTCGACCCTCTTGCCCGCCTCGAACCCGCGCTTGCAGTCGTCGGCGCCCTGGAACTCGGGCTCCGCGCCGAACACGCGGATCCCCGTGCCCTCGCAGCTGAGCGCCACGCCGGAGAGCATGCCGCCACCGCCGCAGGGCGTCATGATGGCGTCGAGTCCCTTGCCTTCTGATGCAGAGGGCTGGCCGGTGGAGTTGAAGGTTGGGTTCTGCGCCGAGTGGCCCGCGGCGATGAGGTCGCGCACCTGCTCCTGCAGCTCGAGGCCGAGGGTGCCCTGGCCGAGCATGATGTCCGGGTGGTCGTAGGGGGGCACGAGGCGGGCGCCGGTCTCGGCGATGACGCGGTCGGCGACGGCCTCGCGCTCGACAGAGGTGCTGCCGCTGAATATTACGTTGGCTCCGTAGCCGCGGGTGCCGGCGATCTTGTTGGCGGGGGAGATGTCCGGCATGACGATGTGGGCGGGGATGCCGGCCTCTTTCGCGGCCAGGGCGAGGGCTTGAGCGTGGTTTCCTAAGAGTTTCGTTAGTGTGAGTGCTTACGTGCATTCTCAATCCGTCATATAAGAGACTCGAAAATGATAACGAGAATATGAGGGGTTGAATGTGTCTCACCAGAACTGTGCGTGACGACGCCCTTCTCCATGCCGCCATTATCAATCCAGCCAGGCTCCTGCTTCAACCTCTCGACCGCGTGGAACGCCCCGCGGACCTTGAACGCGCCGATGCGTTGCAGGTTCTCGCACTTGAACCATAGCCTGAGGGTCGGCTTCGCGGGCGTGCGGCCCTCCCATCTCGTGCCCTTCAGGTCTTCGGGGGACCGCGGCGTCGAGGCGAGGGTGGTGAGGGTCTTGTTTGTGAGGACGGGCGTGTAGTGCACGTGTGGCTTGACGAGCTTGTGTGCTTCCACCACGGAGGCGCGGTTCAGGGGCAGACATGTTGTGAGGTCTGCCATTTTGTCGGTGGTGTCTCACGGTAAGTTGTGAGAGGGGTTTTGGTGAGACTTA